GACGAGCCCTATCTCGCTCTAATCCTCCGAATATCTCGCTCTCTCAAATATCACGCGTTTACCTGCTACCCAAATTATTAATCCGCACTGACCAGTGAGGCAGTCAGTCAGAGTTCGTCTCCGAGTTCTACTAGTGACTCACTTATACGTATTCATCTATCTATTGTATATTATAATTAACGCGATTGTAAATATATTACGATTCAGTATTTTGAATACTTTGTTAGTAATTGTGCAACCCTTTCCTAACTCATCACGATTACTACATTGGTGACCCCGACGTGATCAGTAAAAGGGTTTTCATCCTCGTGTTAAACCGTACCAACGCGTCCAACGCTGGTGGACGGTGTTGGTCCATCCTGCGGTTCGCCGCGATGCTGGTCCGCNTGCCACTCTTATAATCAAAATATTTTTTTTGCTAGAAAAATCGAAAAATGTGAAGTTTTCCTCCTCCCCCCTCGCCCCTTAGCCCCACTCTCAATGAGTCGAATCTTTTTTGGGGGGTTGAGGGGGTCCCCGTTGATTTCCAAAACAAAGTGTTTGAGCATTTGATACATTTATCTTTGCCCGATACATCCCTTTGAAAATGAAAGGGTGTCCATGGGGTTTCAAATTTTTTTGGGGGGAAAAATTAGGCACCCTGACTTTGGAGCCCTACACGGCCCTGGTAAATTATCATATTTTGACACATTCGCTGTTACCGACCGTGCAAATTTGATATCAAGCTTCGGAGTCGGCCGCACAACGTGGGGGGGGGGGGATAAAATTCACAAAAATTGAAAATTAAAAACCCCTGATGAAAAAGTTATCCTTGAGTAGCTCACAAAGAGGAAAATAAAAACTCAAAATTTTAATTAGACGAATTTTCTAATAAGCATATGCTCAATATATGGAGCTTCAGGAACCACCGGGAATAGGGAATACGGGACGACGAAGCGTAGGAGACCCCCCAGTCTAGGTGTTATGTCTATGGCGTACACAGTAACAGCTGAAGAGCAGTAACTAACCAATTTTACCAACGGATTTTTCGTTTGCTCGCTAGGAAATTTCGGTTTAATATTTTCACCTTCCCCAAATCATTTTTTTAAAATGCATTTTGTAGGAAAACGGAGTATTAATCAAAAATCGGGCTCCGTAGTTGAGTTCCCCAGAATGTTCTCTTTATTCCTGATACAAATTGTCATTTTTTCGAATCGTTTTTCATGTAGTTTCGTCCAAACACAGATATCGAAGAGTCGTGTTATGGAGCGTCAAAAGCATATACCCCTCCCTCTGGTTTGCCATCGGGGGTAAAAATAGTTACTAGCCGTGCAGGTCGGGCCTTAAACTGCTGTTAAAATTTAAGAACGTTCATCGATCTGATTGCTATTATTTTCAATTGTTCAATGCTGATTGTCACAGTGGCGGGGGAGAGGGAGGGTTCAATACTCAATCTTTCTGACCTTCATTTTCGGACCCTTAGACTTTGACCCTTACAATCTGACATAGATTTTGACCCTTGTGACCCTTCAATTCTGATTCTTAGATTTTGACCTCCGAAGTTGGACCCTTATATTTTGACCCTCGTATTTAGACCTTTACATTTTGACCCTTGTGACTCTTAATTTTCAACTTTTGACTCATATGACCCTCAGATTTTGACCCTTGTGACAATTAAATTCGAGCTTTCAGATTTTGACCCTTAGATTCAAAGCCTTGTATGTTGATCCTTATGAGCCTTAGATTTTGACCTTTCTGACCCTTACAATCGAAACCTTGGATTTTGACCTTTATATTCAGACCCTTATATTTTGACCCTCATGACCTTTAGAATTTGACCCCTGTGACCCTGAAATTTGACCGTTGTGACCCTTAAATTTGAAATCTTAAAATTTAATCCTTATATTCATAAAATTATTGTTTGACTCTTATGATCCTTCAATTTTAACTCTTGCGACCCTAAAATTTTGATCTTTCGATTTTGACTTTGATATTTAGACCCTTGTATTTTAACCCTTATGACTCTCAGAATTTGATCCTTATGACCCTTAAATTCTGAACCATAGATTTTGACCCTTGTATTCAGACGCTTGTGTTGATTCTTAGCTTTTGCCCTTGTGACCCTTACAATCGGAACTTTTGATTTTGACTTATATTCAGGCTATTGTACTTTGACCCTCCTGACCCTTAGAATTTGACCATTGTGACCCATCAATTTGAAACCCTAGAATTTGACCCTTATATTCAGACAATTATTGTTTGACTTTTATGACTAGTAAATTTTGACCCTTGCGATCCTAAAATTTTGAACTTTCGATTTTGACTTTGATATTCAGACCCTTGTATTTTGGCACTTATGAGTTACATTTTGTCCCTTGTGACCCTTAAATTCGAAGCCTCAGATTTCGACCCTTATATTCAGATCCTTGTATTTTTACCCCTATGACCCTTACGACCCTTAAATTCTTAACCTTGTATTTTGACTTTATTCAGACGCTTGCGTTTTGAACCTTCTGACCCTTAGATTTTGATCCTTCTGACCTTTCAATTCTGAAACTTGGATTTCAACTCTTATATCGCGTGACTTGTGCCAAAAGGTCGTATAAACATTTTTTTTTATTTTCCCGAAAATTTGTGTCAAAGGTCGTACAAACACTTTCCCAGGAAATATAAAATCTCCACGTTTTGGATGATTCTGGTTAATCTAAGCCTATCATTTTGAAAGAAAATTTTTGATTTTTTTACAAGGAAATTTTAGCCAAAAGGTCGTATAAACATCTCCTCGGAGAAGAGTAAATCTTCACGTTTCTGATGATTTTGGGTCATCTGAGCCTAACTTTTTAAGGAAAATTTTTTGCTCTGTCTAGAGTCATTTCGGAGATTTGTCCAAATTGGGCCAAAAGATTGTATAAACACTTCCTGTGGGAGTAGAAAATCTTCAAGTTTCAGATGAGTCTGACTCATTTCGATGTAATTTTTTCAGACAATTTTTGCGGCTTACACAGGGGGAATTGAGTTTTTTTTACAAAACCAAAGCGTATTCCCGTTTTTTGGGGGGATTAATAAATATTCATGCTTAGATGGTTCTGATTTTTTTTTAGACCATTTTTTAAGTTAACCTGGAGTAAAGTTGAATGATTGACACAAAATTGCATTATTAGTGATTTCACCAATTATTGATCCGGTTTTGTTCCTTGAAAATTTCAATTTTGTCGAGACTTTTCAGATGGTTTTTTCTACATTCAAAAGAGCTTTAAAAAAACCTTAATTGTTTTGACATCATCGTAGGAAAAGTCAATTTAGTTGATTTTTTACTTTCTGTCGACTTTTTGTTGAAATTCTAGGTGTCAAAAGAAATGATAATACATTTTTTGAGTCTTCAATAGGTATCATTGGCTGAAATTTCGCGTTCTTTCGATTAAGCATGGTTTAAAGTTGTTCACAGCACCAGAAATATTCTGATATTCCGGAAGGAGTTCAAAATTCCGCGTTGTATCACCTTTCCCCATCTTAATTGCAGATTTTTCTTCCGAATGTATTCGTCAAATCTAAAATTTCCATTTTTTTGTGTCAGGATGACTAAATTTGGTCTCACGAGTTCGAATATGATGTTTTTACATCATGTCGATACGAATGTATGTGAGCTTTTTTTTAGAAATTTAGTTTTTCGACGATCATTAAAAAAAATGGCTTAAAATATTCGTGTGAATGTTATCTCGGTCGAATTCGAATCGGGGGAAGATTGCATCATTTGTTGAAAAATTTTATCAAAAAAAAAATAGTCAAGGTTTATTCAACGTTTAGTCAAGGTCTAGTGAAGGTCAAGTTACGGTCATGTGAAGGACTTGGGTCAACCACAGCTTGACCAGAGATGAACCTTGGCCAGGGATCAATCTTGGCTTGACCGGGGGTCAACCTTGGCTTGACTACGGGTCACCCTTCCATGCATGAAAACAATTCCATAACAGCCCGTGTATAAGGCTCATTTTGTTTATTCAATTTCGCGACGCCTATAAGTTATACAATTTTCAAATTGTGACCAATGTGTCTAATACTAATGATGAAAAAATAAATAACTTTTTTAATGGACATTGAAAAATATCATTTGTCAAAGACATTCATGACAGCCTCAAATCGCGTATTATCAAGTGGTTTCTGGATTTCAGATTAGAAATATTGTAAATTTAGTAGAAAATTAAGAATTCAATTTAATGATTAAAAGTATGTCTAAATTGTTGGAGAATTCAGAAAATATTATGATTGCATTGATATTGTTATTGAACGTAATGAATCGAGAAAGAAAGGAAAAAATATCCCGAAAACCATACCTCACGTTGAGTACATCCCAACACGATTTGGGTGCGACTAGAACGAAGAAAGATATAGGATATTTCCTAATATCCTTTTCAAGTATATTATTTCTACTGGTACGAACTACCAATATTTGTAAAATAGTATATTTCGATACGAATGAGACGGAATTTTTACGAGTGTGAAGTGGCAATCTCATGAGTTGAAAGTTCCGGTCTCACATGTGTCGAACAATATTTTTTGACAGTGATGTTATGTTCAGCGAGTGGCCGCACTATGCCTTTTTCGTTTACAAGTAAACGAAAAGACTTTTCGTTTACTTTTCGTTTACGAGGAAACGAAAAGGCACTTCTCGGCACGAGGTGAATTTAGAAGCAGTGTCAAAAATATATTATATTTATGCGGAGTTAGAACGGAGGGTAACAGATAAACAACCCGAAGAGATAATTCTTTTAAATTATAGAACTAATTACTTAGAAACAATTGGCTTCCTCCGTTTATGAAATAATACGGATGAAATTACCCAGTGTAGGACTCCCTTTAAGCTCAACCATATCGCTGGTGCTCATATAAAGTACAGTGTTATAACTTCCAGGCAGCATGCGTAAATAAGGTTTCCATTTCGAACTATTCTTATGCTTCTCTACCAGAAGAGCAACAGCTAGAGCCACTTGTGGCATGTTTTGAATTATTGGGTCACCCATAATCGAAGATAACTCTGGAGCGGCAGTCTCAATACTAAAAATGACTTTCCTAGGAATCTCCAACACCAGTTCATTCGCATGATAATCCTTCTCAGCCCTAATCCCGAGGTCAAACCCTGCAAACTCAGCAATGCTGACGCCTTCAATTTTCGCTCCATAGCTCTGCAACCATTCCACAAACTGCTTTGTCGCTGATGCACGTGGTGTTGTCGTCGTTGTCTTTATCTCCTCAAGGCGATTAATCTTTTCCAAAATCGAGGAAATATCCAGATAATTCTCCCATAGTCGCGTTGTGTATGTAGGATCACTGCATACTTGAAAATGAAGAAATAATAACAATAATAGTAAAGTACAGTCATGGTCATTATTGCAATGTCTCGGAAATGGTAAAGTTTTCAAACAACTGTCGGCAATCCTTTTTCGTGGAAAATTTCAAGCACTGCACAAAATGTTTCTTGAAATTTCGCTATGAAGTTAATAGTTCTAGAGATGCTTGTAAGTCTTCATCTGACCAATGTTCGTTACTTGATTAGCAAATTTTCTGGCCAATATATCAGGAACTAGTAAGTAGTTGGCAGAAAAATGTTGAAAAACCTTTTCTGTAACCCTCAAATCTTTTAATGAAGAAGTTTTCTAGATTAATCTTCCTAGATGTCTTTAACATTCATAAATTTACGACAAAAAAATGACTGAGTAAACAAGTTAAACTGAAGCACACTTACATCTAAATAATCTTTCGCAATGTCGATTAATCTCCTTCCGTTTAATCTGCGGTATTGTCTTTACTGATGAAAGATCATCATTTCTAAGCGACCGATGACATTTCTTCCTACCCATTTCAGACACAATTAGAAGTCTTTATACAGCTCAATAATGTCCACAGTGCAATGTCTGTACTATATTGTACTTTTCTCTGTTGTAAAATTAGATCGACGAGTGAATAACCGTAAAAGAATAGGGTGGGTGACAAAATCTCCGACGGCGAAAACCAAAGAGGAATGACTAAAGTTATAGAGGCTCAGATCTCGGGTTTGGCGTGACCCCAAGCGAAAAATAGTACGACCCCAACGGAGGGATGGCGACACGGTCGAATCGGACGGCTGGACGAACTGGCCAGAGATAATAGGGGAGATTGCTGAGGCTTATGGGAACTGTTCGATCAGAGTTTCATAGCGGTAGCGCGCATGAACTAATCGAGAGGCCGTCTCTGTGGGTAAAGAAATTTTCATCTATTATCATGGAAACAGTCGATAACAGGGATGCGTTCCCTATCTTAAATCCAACATGAAACCTCCTTTGCATTCACTCATCCGCTTGATTATCCCATTTTCGTTCATACAACTTCTTATTGTCTTAATTTGTAAATTAGTTGATCATAAAGGAGAGGGAGAGAAGGAATTATGAAGTCTTGAGCGAAAGNATAAATTCAACATGAAACCTCCTTTGCATTCACTCATCCGCTTGATTATCCCATTTTCGTTCATACAACTTCTTATTGTCTTAATTTGTAAATTAGTTGATCATAAAGGAGAGGGAGAGAAGGAATTATGAAGTCTTGAGCGAAAGAGGATCATTTATTTGAATTTCTATACAACTAGATCTTTAATAAAAAAAAAAANCTTTTATTACATACTAGGGGGCTACGCCCCCTACTCGCTCCGCTCGCCAACCCTGGGGGGGCTTCGCCCCCCCGCTCGTTGCCCCCTCTCTCTCTCTTTTGACCAGAATTGGTATGATCACATGAGTGCTGAGAAATTGGTAAGTTGAACCCAACATGAATGTTTATCTTACACGAACCGCCTGCCAAATAAGGACCGCTCCCATATAAATTCGCCTTACATAGAAACCCCCGATATGGGAGTATCATATTGGACTATCCCCCTATCATATATAAACTTTCTTTTACATGGGATCATATAGAGTTCCCTCTCGTATGAGATCCCCTTATGTGGGACCTCTCCTCATATAGGAGGACTTGTCCATACGTAGACTCCTGTCCTCATATAAGATTCCACTCATGGCCCTCGTCAGCCATGCCGATTCGATCAGTCGTTTCATATTCTCATCTGCTTGTGATTATGAGGCCTTCTTCTGTAGTTTTCCCAAATTCAACTCAAATTCAAACGTAAAAGTTTGTTATTATGACAAATCTTACGGTTTTTGTATACATTTTTATCCTTTATGCTTGAACAGTAATATGAAATATTCAATACATACAACTGTTGATGGAAGACAATTCACTTTGAGAAGGAAGAAAGGAAATAGGATTGCAAAGGAAGAGTGACAAGAATATCCTAATTGCGGAATTAAAATTCTCATTGTAATATTATTAGAAATTGTACACATGACGTCACTTCCTTCGATATGCCCATCCGTTCATTCTGCTAATGCAGCCATTCGACCTTTACGTCTTCCAACATATTGAGCATGTCTAGCGTTTTCCATCTGATTTGCATATGCGATTCTACGACGTCACTCGTTCTCGAATTTCAAGAGTTGCTCCCTCAGAATGACATGTCCACACTCATTAACGATGCTTCTTTAATTTTCCGTCCACTTTTGCAATAACCCGTCAATGCCATCCAACTCCAGAGCCATATATTTCAAGAAATTTTGATACCAACGCCTGGTATGAATACAGAATTCCTCGACCTGAAAAGATTCCCAAAGATTTTGAAAACTTGAGAAGAGAACCTTTGACATGTATTGGATTAAGAGTTAGTTATCGTCAGATTCTTAGCGACTCGATTTTCATATCTGGATAGAACTCTTGAAATATCATAAAAAATTTAGCTGTCCGAGATTTTCGAGT